AGGTAGGTAGGTAGATAGATAGATAGATAGATAGATAGATAGATAGATAGATAGATAGATAGATAGATAGATAGATAGATAGATAGATAGATAGTTGTGGCTGTAGCTGTAAGGATAGGGATAGGGATAAAGATAGAGAGATATCAAGCTAGATCTAGATGTTTGTAAGTTATTAAGTCTTTCAAAGCTGCAGCAACCACAACAAAAAAGCCAATGAGGAGAAGAGGGTGAATTCAATTGTTTGAAAAATTGGCCCATTCACCCCTATTTCTTGTAGGCTACTAGTTTCGGTAAAACTGCCCACTCAAGGTCTGTATATTTCCTGAAAAAAATAGTATATGAGAAAATCTATGCTTGATGGTCACATCAAAGACCTATTAAGTCATCCTTAAAGGTGGATAGGAATATAGTAGACTTTTCTTGCAGTTGGTCATCTGGGTTTGGTATTCAGAGGGCTCATTCTAACTTTCTTCTTCTTCTTTTTACGATCCTGTAATCCCCTTTATCCGGATGGAGTTGGGGGTGACTGAATGGAGCTGAGAGTTTACTGGCCAGATGCCTTTCCTTACGCCTAAGCGGAGTTCGCAGCAGATATTTTCTCTTTGCACCCTGATTGAGAAACATCTGTTGCTGCCTAAGATTGATCTCTCAACTTTCCAAATGGGAGGCAAGTGTCTTCACCTCTCGGCCACTTTTTGACTCTTCCTAGCTATTTCTACACATTTTCCTCATCTTTATTGCCATCATTTATCAATTGTCCCCCAAACACAATTCTCTGGGTCAAATATGGATTAAAACATGATAATCAATGGCCAATAAAATCTAAGTATTGAAAACTGCATGAACACTAGACAGTTTGCAATAGTAACAGCATCATCCTTGGAATAAACTTATTCCATATACTTGATTAAATGTCCTTGGAAGCCAGCTCAGGAAATTCCTGTGCGCTGTATCTAAGATAACTTTCCATTAGTCAGATGAATTGGACAATCTCACTTTAAAAAGAGAAAAAATATCTTTGTATTTATTTTCTCTACTCCCTGAATAATTTTACACGCCACACCTCACCTTTTAAACTAGAAATGTTCAAAAGTTGTCATTTCTCCTCCGAGGAAAATTGCAGCACGAATTGAGCAAAGTTATGAGGCAAATTGTTCTCATCTGAACCTTCCCCTGCTGTCCCCCTCCAGATGGGTTGGGACAGCACAGTCCCTTTTGACAATGTGGGCTGGGAATTTGGAAAGCAGCCCATCTGCCTACAAAAGGCTGCTGTAAGTTATTTGTAGGTCACAGAGACAGAGAGACCAAACTAGCATAGTTTGAGCCTGGTCATTTAACAGATTAACAGAGTTGGAAAGGACCTTGTAAGTCTTCTAGTACAACCCCACACCCAAGCAGGAGACCCTACACCATTTCTGACAAATGGCAGATTGGACTTCCAGTGATGAAGCTCCCACGACTTCCGAAAGCAAACTGTTCCATTGGTTGATTGCTCTCCCTGTCAGAAAAAGTCTCCTTATTTCCAGGTTGAATCTCTCCTTGGTCAGTTTCCATCCATTATTCCTTGTCTGGCCTTTGGGTGCTTTGGGAAATAGCTTGATCCCCTCCTCTCTGAGGCAGCCCTTCAAATATTGGAACATGTCTGCCCTGGTCCTTCTCTTCACTAGACTAGCCATGCTGATTAACTGCAAGCGTTCATTGCATGATTTAGCCTCCAGACCCCTAATCATCTTGGTTGTTCTTCTCTGCACTTTCTCTAGAGTCTCAACATTTTTTGTATAGTGTGGAGAACCCTGGGTTGATTTATTTGATGATCCATTTGTTGGTTGGCTGTCCGCAATATTCTCAGGAGTCTCCCCCAATACCCTAGGTTAAAAATGTTGATATTCTTCCCAAATTGCTTCTTCAAATTCCAATGTTTGCTTCCATAGATCATCATAGGAATAGCAATAGCAATAGCAGTTAGACTTATATACCGCTTCATAGGGCTTTCAGCCCTCTCTAAGTGGTTTACAGAGTCAGCATATCGCCCCCACAGTCTGGGTCCTCATTTCACCCACCTAGGAAGGATGGAAGGCTGAGTCAACCTTGAGCCAGTGAGATTAGAACCGCTGAACTGCAGATAACAGTCAGCTGAAGTGGCCTGCAATACTGCACCCTAACCACTGCGCCACCATGTCTAACATGATTTTGATCTTTTGTAGTTATAGATACATCATGACTTTTAAATATCTTTATCAAGGCTTTGGTGGCTGCTCTGCCAAGCCATCATCTACAGTTTATTTCGTGACTGCTTGCTTACTATTAATGCCTGAAAGGCAGAAGTTATCCAACACTCTGATATCTCCATTGTCAATTCTAAGGAATGAATTGCAGGGTGACTCTGCCCACTGCCGAGAGTTCAATCTTGACCGGCTTAAGGTTGACTCAGCCTTCCATCCTTCCGAGGTTGGTAAAATGGGGACCCAGATTGTTGGGGGCAATATTCTGACTCTGCCAACTGTTTAGAGAGAGAGCTGTAAAGCACTATGAAGCAGTATATGTGCTAAGTATTATTGATAGTTGTTCTACCTGTTGTCGTTAGTTTGGTCTTCTTTAGATTTAATTTTTCATCCCATTTTTCACTATGCTCCTTAACTTTTATTACTGGAGCTTGCATTTTGGGCTACATGTTTAGTGTCATCAGCATACTGCAAGTATTGATGTTTCTTCCCCCAATTTTAAATCCATGCTCATGTTCTTCCAATCCATTTTCCCTTAATATATATTCAGCATATAGGTTGAATAAATAAATGGAGAGTGAACAGCTCCCATTTATCTTAGAGGCAAACAAGACAAGAATCTTGATATAAAATAAAGCATTCTTAGACAGGTACATTTGTACTGTAACCAAAGTCTGCCAGAAAATTGTTTTATGGAAGATAACATGAGATGTGAAGTTCTCCAAGTATAAATATATTGAATATACATTGTTCTTTCCTAACGGTGGGAAAAGAAGAGGTAAATTTTTTGGCACACCTGGGGAATGCACAGACACATTTTAGATACTAAGAAATAATTTCCAAAGACCAGATACTCTCTGAAAAGAAACTCAATCTTCCTACTTAGGATCCTCAGCTTAGAAGATTTCCTAACAAATTAGATTAATTGAGACTGCTGTGCATAGAAAAAGAATACTTTGTTAACCAATTACCGTTGCATGCTGGTAGAATTTTTCTAGCAGCTTTGATTCTTCTGAGACATTAAAATATCAAATGGCAACTTGGCCACACAGATACAGCACGTGCCTCTCAAAATGGTCTTAAATTATACTTCCCGAATGCAGCATCTGAGCTTACCTCCTTGAGCGTAGAAGGGAAGGTGGTTTCTTGCAAGTAGAATTCTGCGACGCATTGGAACGTGATTGTGAGAACGATGCCCAAACAACCCAGATGTACACAGGCTGCTCGGAAGAGTTCAGGATTCACAGTTTCAGAGCACTCCAGGATGTCCCCTGCAGCTGTCAACAGTGTCATGGCTACCACCTGCCAGGGGGAAAGCAAAGGATCTGGTTGAATCTGGGAATCAGCCAGAGGTGGTATGTATTCAGCCACTTTTGACAGGTTCTAGAGAACCGGTAGCGGAAAGTTTGATTAGTTCGGAGAACCAGCAAATAGGCTGGCCCCATCCCCTGCTGCCTCCCAGCTGATCTTCTTTTGTTGCTCTGAACAGGAGGACGAAGCTGGAAAGCAGGTTAGTGGGGTGGGGAGGGAATGTGGATTTTGCAGTATCCTTCCCTTGCCACGCCCACAAAGCCACGCCCACAAAGCCCCACACCTCCCACAAAGCCATGCCCACAGAACTGGTAGTAACAATTTATGAATCCCACCACTGGAATCAGCCCACCTATCACAGTACATTTGAAGAGTTCTGCCTTACTGTAATTTGCTTGCATCCACCCACCACGAAAGAAGAAACATCTGTCAATCTGCCCAACTGGTAGACCCTGGACCGTGAGTTAAAATTGTCATGCATAGTTCTGTGTTCTGACCCCCCCTCGTTCCACACCAAAGCACTCCAAGCCAAAGATACTTTATGGAATTATTTATTAATAGACAGACAGGTCCTTGGCAGCAAATTGGCACAGACAAACCTTGGCAGCAATCCAGCACAGATAAGCCTGGCAGCAATCCAGCCTGCCAAGCTCACAATACTGTTCTCCAACATTAGTTAATGCGTTGACTTCTGCAAAAGGGGTGTGTGCACAAGCATTCCTTTTATAGTCTGGAGAGGAGCCTAATTACCACCAGCTGAGTGCAATTACCTCCTGTAACTGCGCAATTGTTCCTTACGCCTATTAGCTCTCCAGTGCCGTGGATCTAGGAACAATTCACTTGGCTCCTCCCCACTGCTGACGTCTGTATCACACTCCCTTGTCTTCTCCCCACTGGTCCAAGGCTCAGGCTCCTCCTGATGGCCAACCAGCCTCTCTGCGCCCTGCTCGGAGTCGGAACCCTGTCCAGGGTCCTCCACATCCTCCAGAGCCGACTCATAGGGCTCCTCGCTGTTGGAATCTGGTAGCAGCTCCAACGGCTCCTGCTGGGCCACAACAGTTCTGTGTTCAATTTAACCAAGCTACATTCAGTACAGGTAGTCCTCGACTTACAACAGTTCATTTAATGACTGTTCAAAGTTACAACAGCATTGAAAAAGCTGACTTATGATTGTTTTTCGACATTACAACCTTCGCAGCATCCCCATGATCGTTTGATCAAAATTCAGATGCTTGGAACTGATTCATATTTATGACCGTTGCTGTATCCCAGGGTCATGTGATCACCTTTTGCGACCTTCTGACAAGCAAAGTCAATGGGGAAACCAGGTTCACTTAACAACCATGTTCCTAACTTATCAACTGCAGTGATTCACTTAACATCTGTGGCAAGAAAGGTTGTAAAACAGGGCAAAATTCACTTAACAAATGTCTCACTTAACAACAGAAATGTTGGGCTCAATTGTGGTCGTAAGTCAGCGGCTACCTGTGATTACATATACAACATACTAAGATAGTTTTTAAAAAAGTTCCCAGATCAACTTTTTTCTTCCTTAATATGTTGCATGAAGTCATATTTCAGGTAGTCCTTGTTTAGTGACCACAGTTGGTATTGGTAACTCAGTCACTAAATGAAGCAGTCATGAAATGAAACTGTCCCTATGCTTACGATCTTACTTCACCTTTACTTGGTTTTACAGATCTGCAAAAGTTGAAAATGTGAGGATTAATCACAGAAATACCTCTTCATCATTATTGTAACTGCCAATGGGTTGCTAAATGAGGCAGTCACTTAATGAGGATTACCTGTAATCTGGGTTTACTGAGTTCTATCAGCCAAGCCAACAATATTTCATTGAAGCTGCAGAAGGCCTGATATCTAGGGGTTGATTTACACATTATTATTATTATTTTTTTAATGTTTGAAGCTTTTTATGTTGTGCTGTTTTGGGTGTTGATGCTATTTATGATTTTATTTGGCATATTTTCAACATTTATTTTACTCTGAGATTATTGGATTTTATTGATCTTGTCATTGTTTTAAGTTCTAAACTGCCACAGGGTGGTTTGTTTGGAGTGTGCAGTAGCAACAGGATAAAAGTTTGTAGAGTGTCTCAGTCATCCATGGTTCTCCCAAAGGTGCTTTTTCAAGAAGCAACTGGACTTTCTTGTTTTTAATTTTGAAGACGTTTCACTTCTCATCCAAGGAGCTTCTTCAGCTCTGACAGGATGGTGAGGTGTTGTGGCCCAGCAGGAGCCGTTGGAGCTGCAAACAGGCTCCGACAGCGAGGGGCCCTATGAGCCAGCTCTGGAAGAT